TGAGACCATAATTTCCCTTTTGCAATGAACAATTAAGTTTCATGAAGTACCACGGTTTGGTCCCTCTATTGTTTGTGCCAGGCTATGCTTATTGGGTGGATCTGCGGAAGCCAGAAGAAGACGCTGACTGCATTGCCTTATCAGTGGAGGTTCAGCTGACAGACGCCAAAGGAGTTAACGACGGAAGCAGACATGCCGTTGTTGTGAAAAGCAAGGTCAACAACAAGCTTATTTTAACTGATCGAGTCGTCGTCGTAGCGAGAGTGCCACACGACCCTTTTCTCCACGTGAACCTGAGATTGGTCAGCCATCCCACAGTGAATGTGTAGGTTGTCATGTTAACTTCTACCTACCTCTTGACTTATCTACTCAAGATGCCATAGACTTATCGACACGCCACGGCCTGTGCGAATCATCCTTGAAGTGTACGTTTGTGTGAACGCCCTCTACCGCCTGAGTTGTTGCCAATCTGCCGAAAGCCCTTAATAACGTACTGCTAATAGCAGCCGCAGGATACAGAGCCTAACTAGCTGCCCAAGGTGTCATTAAAAGCGAATATTTGATTGTAAAGGAATGAAAATTATCGAATGGCAATTTCTGGTAGTGACGGTGCGTCAGTTATGGTGTGGCGACTGATTTGTCTCCAACACAATGATAGTAACTCTTGTCAAATAATATTGCCGCTACTGAGTACCAGTAGTTTGTGTTCCTAGGACATATTCTACAACGTTTCAAACAGTTGAATCAATTCGATTACCATGTCATCACCTGGTTTTCTCGGCTTTAAAGAGGTGAATATTCGGTGGAAGTACAAACAAATTTATCAAAGCAATCAACACTCGAGTGTCACAAAGCTTCGTTTTGGCTTCTGCATGGCGGTGCTTTTACCGTGAATGTGGTGCCAGCGGATCCAAATGATGCTGGATTGAGCCTCGTCCCGGTGTCTAACGAAAGAGGCGTCAGGATGCGTGAGGTGAGTCAAGCAGTAAGATTTAACTAGCCAGTTATTTACATAGTTGTCAACTTTAAACTTAAAGACACTAACCTGGATTTTCCTTCCCTAGGC